TCTGCAGGCAACAACTAGACCTTTAACCAGTTCTTTGCTTTCCCGATTTAGTCTGGCTACCTGTGGGTTTGTGAAACGTGAGAGCAGGCGATCGCATTTTTTCCCACTCGCAGTGTTTGGATCACGCAGGGTGGACCAGCAGCTTCCGATTAGCCAGGAGTCACCAAAGCCCCGTGCAGTGCCAGGTACCAGCGGCACAAACCCTCTGAGGGCCTCTGGAAAGCATCCGTGAGCGAATCCCATCCACAGGCAGTTTGGATCACACAGGGTGGACCAGCAGCTTCCGATTAGCCAGGAGTCACCAAAGCCCCGTGCAGTGCCAGGTACCAGCGGCACAAACCCTCTGAGGGCCTCTGGAAAGCATCCGTGAGCGAATCCCATCCACAGGCATCTTGCAATGCCGGCGACTGGGGTGCACGGGAGCAGCGTGCTGGGGCAGGAGCTGCGTCGGGGTGGTGTATCGTCACCTAGTCATGAGGGGGGGGGGCTGACAGCGTGCTGAGAAGCGACGCGTGCCAGGGCCTGACTCCGTAACACCGGCCTCCTTTTAGCAATTCTCCGCGCTGACTGAAGTGCTCTTCCGCTTCCTGACGGAGCCCCGGGAGGTGAGGCATGGGCACAGCCCCCGGAGGGCTGGGTGAGGGCGGCTCGCTGGTGGGGAGTGGGCAGAGATAAGATTGAGTCGCTGCTCTTTCTCCTGAGCAGGTAGAAAGGTTTCTGACTCAGCTCTCGGATTTTGCCACCATGAATAAAATCAGCTTGGGCCCCCTGAAAAGCATTGTCAAAAGTATTCTTCTGGTGCCTAACGGTAAGTGATCTATTTGCATATGCTGCCCTGAGGCCGGACTGTTGCCCGGTCCCTGCATGCTGCCAAAGCGTGTCTGCAGAGCGGTGCGCCTGGCTTGCACAAGAAGTGCTTGCGGTAGCTAACAAACGGCTTAGCACTGAAGAATCAAAACTTCTCCTGTTGAAGTACCCCTGCTTGGTGACTTGGGCTTTGTATTCTTCATGCCTTGCTGGCACACAAGCTTAATGAAACTCACTTAAATATGTGTGCATTAAATGCGAGCGCAACGCTCTGACAGTGCGGGGTTTAACTCTGTAAATCCGTTTTGCCAGACCAGCACAGCCTGATGTTGGCACTAAGGCTCAGTAGGAACTTCCACCCAAGCGACCCAGTACTGCAATTCCTACAAGGACAGGCGCTGTCTGGGGCAGATAAGGCAGCGTCACACCCCTCTGGAGTGCGCTGGGCGCCGGCCCGGTTCTAGGCCGTGTAGAGGAGGCGTCTGTCCTTGCTGTCTTGTTTCAGAAAAACACTTCTGCGTCCAGCGGTTTCTCGTTCGTGAGCAGTGGGGAGGAGGGGCAGGGGGATTCCCCTTGAACACCCCAGCCTGCAGCATTTCATGAGATCGCTCTGGTGACGTGGCTGCTGTTTGACATGATAACACATCACGCACCTCCACGCACGTTCATCCCACTGATCCTTCTTGTTGCTCGTGGTCCCTTGCTGTTGCCCTGCAGTCCGGGGCTGCCCGCAGGTTTCTTCGCCGCAGTGCAGCCGTGCACAGCTGTTTGCTGCATTTGGTCTAAACTTCCGTTCTGCCACTTCAAGCCATTTCTTCTGTCCAGGAGTAACAATGAGTAATTTCCCTTCCTACAACTGTTGTGAGGTTATTTAACGTGGAGTCAGCATTTTCTCCCTTCCCGATTCTGGAGTAGGTGCACTCGGTCTCTCGTGCCATTCGTGTGCGCTGGCTCCGATCCCGCTGTGGCTTTTCCTTCGCTCTGGGATGCCACGCACAGTATCGGAACAGATGACAGCCCAGAGCTCTGCGTGCGCTACGCGGAGGGAGAGCCACGTGGGACGGGCAGGCTCTTTGAATTTATGAGATTCCTGCTCCTGGCTCCAGAGAACAGAATCCTTGTAAACTTCCCTGTGCTGGCTGTGCCCCAGAACAAAGGAGGCAGGCACAGCAGGGGAAAGTGTTATATGCACACGTTCACACCCATAATCCAAAACACAGCGGGCAGGTCAAATTAGTAGCCTGCCAGCCTTAACCGTTCGCCTTTAACAAGCAAAGCTTCTATAGGAGAGAAAGCAGCGACTTCAAAACACAGCCACTGCTGCGGTTTCCATGGATACCTGCGAGGAAATCTCGCCCTCTACCTCGGGCCCCCCCAGAGCC